TTCTCTACCTATGGAAACATTGTTAATGTCAATATGGAAATTGAGAAGAAGTATGTAACTAAAATTTATTCTATATATACCTTATATTCTCTTTTTATAGATATGGTTATACTGTCTGAATTAGCATTGTTGAATTTTCACTAGGTGTGAAGTAAATTTGAAATAAGTTCATAGTCCTTTTTTATGATAAATGTTTATAGAATGTTGGTTTCATTGTAATGTAACATTAATTTGTTTATTTGTCTGCAGCTGTGGATTTGTCACATTTGATAAAGTGGAATCAGCAGAAAAGGCAATTGCTGAGGTAAGGAATATGTTATACTGATTCCTTTTGGAGTAATAAATGATGGAAAACAGGGCATATATTTTTTTGGAATTGTTTTTCATATTATTTTTTACATGAAATGTACAATGGCAAGTCATACATTTGTAAACAATATATTCTATTGTGTTATAATCACACCATTTATATTGATATTTCTTGGGGCATAAGAGGAGTGTGAGGCAATTTCATCATAGAATATATTGTAATGAGAAATTGCAACTTATATGGAATATATCCTTTTCAGTCTAAAGAGTATGTTTTTCCATGCATGAGAAAAGATAGTGAGAATCATTTAGATTTCCTAATGTAAATGCTATCAGTTTAAATGTACTGTATATAGCTCTGACCTTCACTATTCTTTCCAAAGATGAATGGCAGCATGGCCTCTGGCATCCAGTTGAAGGTGTCCCTTGCTCGTCGGCAGCCTGTTATTGACCCAATTAATGATGCTTCTTCTTCGGCTACATGGTCTACCATTGGTAAGGAGACAAGTGAAACACAAAGTTATAGCTGGTTAATTTAACCTTAATGTAATGATATATTTATCCTGAAGGTATGAGTGTTAGTAGATAAGTTAGTGATATTCTGAGTCTTCTTTGGGATAACAACAAATATAGAAAGGTGAAGAGATATCTAGGTAGGTGTGTGTTTGTGTGTGTGTGTACACATTTTGTGTGTGCATGCATGGATGTGGGACTGTGTGTGTATATGTTTGTTCTTTGGTAGAGAATTTGAATATAGGTATACAATATATAGTATCTGATAAAATTTGCTGATTGGTATATCCTTTGCCTATCAGTCATTAATAAAAAAAGAAGGAAAAAGAAAGTCATGAGATGTCTGTGATGTTACAGCTAATGATTAAATTTATTTGATAATTTTTTTCCTATTTACTGATTCTAGCCTTTCTTTCCAGCTGCCAGCCACTCGCAGAAGGGATCACACAAAGATAAGAGAGACCTTGTGACATATGATGAAGTCTTCTAATATTAACCTTTTTTTTGTATATAAATTCTTCATGCCTTTCACACTTCTGTCCTTCCCCTCACACTTGTGTAAAAAAAACTAATAAAGTTTATCATAAATATTACAATGATTTTTTTTTTCTGAAATTTCCTTGTTATGTAGAATTAAGTTGGTACCAGTGCTGTGTTTATGAGCATACTGAATATTGCAATTGTACCTTGTAGATAATCTTTGTTCTGGGTCTGTAACTATTGAGCCATTAGGAAATATCTCATGTAAATGTACAGAAATATCCAAACATTTCCTTTGAACTGTTTTTATATTTCAAAGGTGAATCTCAGGTAATAATGTTTCTGATTTGAAATACTGAGATACTAGTGCATACCCTTCTTATTCTACATCTTTTTTTATTGCAACTTTTTATTCTAGATATTATTTATCTTTGATGATAGATCAATTCAAGAAAATTGAAGTAACATTTTCTATTGATTGCAATAGTGAATAGCAGAGTTTGTTATATCAACAGAATTTATAAATAATCAGGTAAATAGTTTACTTTCTATTTGAATACTGGATTACATTGTCATCAAAGTACTTGTATCTGATTGCTCGTCATTAAATTAGCTTTATGTAGCTTATCCTATCTTTATTGTAAAAATTCATTTTCACTATTAACCCCTTGGTTCCGGGTATGACGTGTATGTACGTGCTATGCCCACAGTGAGTACTTGTTTGATTGTTTTTACGCATAGATGGCAACACTTGTACTAACTCCCCAATGAGCCAGTTCCGAGCACAGCCTGTCTCGCCCATTTACCCGTTTCTTTGATTTACAAAATATTTTACGTAATCTTATTTTGTTGTTACTAATGTTTAAAAAAATTATAAAAATTATAATGTTTATGATAAAAACAACACCATCGATTTTCATAGCACTCGTAAAAAATACGTTTTTCCCGCCATTTAAATCAGGCGCTAGCAGAGCCATCTATCGGCAGACATTTCACAAAAAACATAGAAAGTGGGCACAATATTTTCCCCATTTTTTGTTCATTTTCCCCGGCACCATTGGGTTAATTGCACAGTATACACCTGTGTGTGTGTGTGTGTATGTGTATGTATGTGTGTGTTGAAAATTATTTGCTGATTTTATTACTTATAATTTCATTCACATAAAAAGAATATTATAAAAAAATAAAAAATAGTATC